CATCGATTGCTTGCCAAAAGAAAAAGCACATGGGGCCTGCAACAATGCTTAATTATTAGCTTTATTCAGTGAAACACTAGATTACTAGAGTACTGAACTAGCCATTGATGTGTTTCTTCGAGTCATTGCCAATATATATGGGTTTCGTTTGCTGGTTAGCGTAGCTTGGAGGGCAAGAGTAACAGGGACGTGCAGTCATTGAATTTTTGCTGTCACAGCACAGTAGAACGCAGTTGATGAGATAAACAACCCCACTCATCTTAACCGTAAAAATTTAATGCAAAGCGGACTCCAGGAAAGTTTATAGTGAGTTGGGGTCAGTTCACTTCTGTCTGTGTAAGCAGAAGCCAGACAAGGGCGGAGAAATCAGCATAATTTACCCGTTAAAGTCATAAATTCTGGTTGGTAGAAAACTTCTGGCACGGATTTGCAGAGCTGAAAAAGGTGACCCTTCAATTCATCTTAAATGCTAACCGAAAAGACAGTTAACACAATTTTGTGGTAAGAAGAGAATTATTGGACGTCATAACCTCTCGGTTAATAGCCACCCATAGTTCCAATTCATGTGGTTCATTTAGGCTACTTTAATTAGACAAAAGAAACAATTAACCGTGAAAATGAACAGTCAACAATAAATCAGCTCAACCTTTCTCCATTGCCTCCACCTCCAGCACCTAAGGCTATGCTTCCTTTTCATACTTGGTAGAAAATTGAATGTAACAAATTGTTTTGATCATCGAGTATGCCCCCGTCATCTGCTGCAGGATAGCTACCAGTACTTGACAATTGCATTTTCTTTTAATCCCAGGCCAGTTCCAAATACTCGGTGATAATGTTGATAATGTTGCACTAGTGACCAGTGACCGATGACCACTACCACTTTACAGTGAGTCTATTTGCAATCCAATTTTCTTCAGCCACAAGTTTAGTAGTTAGCATCGATCTTACAGGATTTAGTGCTCCACCAACTGTCCCTACAAGAATATCGCTCTCTCCATGCGCATTAGACAAGCGACGCAGTCCAAAATTATCTATGATCTTCTTCAATTAGGTCCTTGATTTAAGAAGATAAATGCCATTTTGGTCAACCTAAGGTGGCACTTGATCATCATAAGTTTGGGTTCCAGATTACGTAATGATTTTTAAAGATATTTGTTAGGTAAATCAATATTCTAAACTAACTTTCTTTGAGGCTAAGTTTGGTTTGAAAGATTTTAAAAACTAACAGTAATCTTTACGGAGTTCTTCTGAATACCTCTATGCTAATTATCATCATACAATAATCTGAAGATATCTCCTTCCTTGAACAAGTTAATGTTGTGGGTTCAATTTTAGGGCCCTTCATCGACAGATGTTTACTAAGAATTAAATCTTTGTTCTTTTTTATGCTTTTTGTCTACAGTGACCAAACTTTATTGCTTAAGCAAGATTCCCAAGACTTGACTTTAAAAAAAAAACAAAAAGAAAAGAAATCAACAGGCTAGTAAAGCTTAAAGCTATATATATATATATATATATATATATGTATCTAGTCATATGTTAGGATCTTGTGCAAAACCCCTCCTGATTAATGTAATGGTTCCACCAAACCTTTCCCACTGTCTGCATAGTTTATATGTCTCAAGTCAATATAATACAACGCAATAGGATGTCATATTTATATACAACGTGCGTGGCATGGGGATGCATTTACCTGTCTTTATGTGAGAAGTAAAGTCAGAGAAAGAGAGGGAGAGAAGGGGAGAGAAATATAGATCCTTCAACTCCACATTTGGAATCATCGATCTAATGGTTTTTATTGGAGTTGATAGGCAGAGTTGGAGAACATATATGCCTCCCTGAAGGTAGCAATATCAGAGTTCTTGAAGTGCAGCTTCGCACTTCAGCGAAGGGTCCATGGCATGGCAGGCAGTGCTCACTTCTCAGAATCTGTCAAAAGGGGTTGAGCCCCCATGGCTCAATCACATGAGTGAACTTTATGATTTTATATATTTCCTTACAAGTTGAGGTTGTATATTTGTATCAGTATGAGTTTCTTGTTTGCTGCTGCATCTTGAATACTTTGTCCAGTGCTATAGAATTCAATCCTCAGGTGAGTTGAAGCATTTCTATCAGATGTTAATTTGAAGCTTCCTTGAGCATATATAGACAAAGGCTTGGTTTGCTTTGCGAAGGACAAATCTGGTCTTTGTTTGGTCCTTGTTAGCAGTTCCAGCAAATAGTATTATGTAAATGCTTGAATTCAGAGTTTTAGACCAAATATTCTGTACGGACTAGCTAGTTTGCTGTCAGCTCTGTTCTTTTTTCTTTTTCCTTGTTTTCTTTATTATACAATTTTTATCTGGTGCAACACAATGTGCTAGGACAACCATCATTTAAACCTAGGTTTTCTTTGTGATTGTTCATACAACGTTTCCTCGTTGTCAGCTTGTGATACAAACATATTGCTAAGACTGAAACTTATATTCGAAACCTCAAAAAAGTTTAGTAGTAGCAGAATCCCTCAACCAGAAGGTAGTTGATTCATTTTAGTTTGTCACTGTTCAAGCCATATGCCCATCTGCCACTTGTCAGCTAAGCCAGGCACCATATTTCGTCCCCATTTGTCGTCCCAATTGGCACACCTTCTTTTTTGGGTAAGTTGGTTCAGGATCTCACTTAAAGATGAAGTGCCTGGCCTTGATTTTCCCCAAACAAGTCTGGCGACTGAGCTTATTCCTGGGGTAATAAGGACAAAGCCTGCTGGCCTCACTCATTTGGGTACAAAGTCGCAAGCAACTCAGAATCAGCAGCCTAATGGTTTATTATCCTGTTAAGGCTCAAGGTCTAAATCCAACCCAACTTCGCCAGCTCCCTTAACCTCCGAGTTAAATATTGGTGCTCAAAGCCTGTAACAGCCTAAAGGATTGAACCCACCGAAGCTCCTAAATAACAAAAAGCGTACAGAACTTAAAAGACGCGATATTAAGAGCAATTTATTTTTCTTCTTAGCAGACCAGAAGGAACAAATGTACTTAAAACTGTCCGTGCTTGATACAACACTAAAGGGGATAAACAAAAGACATGGGATAGTTGGCATGGTTCGTTTACAGGACGGAAAAGAGCTAAAAGTGGAGAACAAAGGAAGTTCGCCTGCTTGCGAAGCTGGAAATGATGATGCTGTGAGGGAAATTTAGTCAACCTTCTATACTGTTCTTTTTCACTTTGGAAAATTACAGTTTCTCTCTCTTAGTCTAAAGTTTTTCAAAATCTCAAACCCACTCTCAATCTCCTTCATTAGGTCACTTATCATACGCTCTACTTTAATACATATGTATTGACATCAACACTTAATTAGTTATCTCAAGCTCCATAGATTAGTCCTTAAACATCATCACTGAATATATGCTTTCTCACAGGTTTTTTTGGATTAAGATTATATTGTACTATTAAATTTTAAACTAAGGTATTAATTTGCCTCAATCACTGCAAAAACTTAGTAAAGTTTGACACCAAATGCATGGTTAAGTCACAATCTGAGTTGGGCAGTGCAGAAGTTGACACCACAATAGATTCCAACTCCTAGAAGATAAGACTGCTCGTGGGTCTTGTTATTCCAAGTCGGTCATGGACCAAAGATAGATGATTCTCACACTATAAGGATTTCTGAATTTCTCAACAGTTGCCAAAAATAATGCAAAAAAAAAATGGGCCAAGTCTTGCTCCTATGGTCGTTAGAGACATTAAGACTCTGGGCCACTGATTGTCCGGGATGTTGTGTCATCATGCATGATAAAAAGGATAGCTACTTAGCACCTTGATTCCATAACAAATGCATAAATACACGACGATTGACGAGATTGATGAAAAAAGAAGAAACCCTGCTTAAAATAGCTGAGAAACATGATAAAGATTGTGTTGATTATGATAAAAAAGAATATATGTACTGTTGACGTCAAATTCCGTCGTGCTTGTCCATAATATTTGTCGGTCAAGGACCTACGGCTAGCAAGACAGAGACGATCAGGGGGTGTCCGGATCAGGGGGTGTCCGGAGTTCTAATTCAAATCAATAATAGAGATAAAGGTAGGCAAGGGAAGCAGTGAAGTGAGAGTAAAAACACAGGAGTATGAGGGAGACCAACTTACCATATGCTTACAGTCTTACACAGGATTACAAAATTATAAAAATACCTTAAAGGTAATTCTACAAATAACATGTATAAAGATGTTAATATGTTTTTCCCGAGACAGCACTCCAATCTAACAAGGAAAACATTTGACTCATTTGTTGATGTATTATCTTCTTACCGATGGTTTGAATCCCCTCTCTCGAAATTATAAAAAAAAAAACTAAAAGTTTAGATTTTAATTTGAAAATCTCAAATCTCTTATTACATAAATCAAACAGCTGTAAGTTGTTTACTAGTTCAAACCCAACATATAAAAGTTTCTTTAGCATTGAGATGCCATGGTTATTGTCCTAATACTCATTATTAAGAAAGGGTTTCAACATAAATATGATCCTATATAAGCTAACGTCATCATCTGGCTGTAAGCCTTGGTAGACAGGCTCAAGGAAAACCAAAAGTCAAGCAAGTGCTTTCAGGACAACTCGTGGTGAAGTTGGGCCGACATGTCTGAGGAGGTTGAGTCATTTGTTGTTCTGTCAGAAGGAATATCTAGCACCTAGCTAAAATTTCGTAACACAACTGTTGCTGCCAACGGGTTTCCGTTATAGAGGTCAGACAAAGAACAGGCGGACAGCATCACATAGCATTTAGCGGACAGAGAGGCCCTTCGGGTGGGAATCTAGTGTTCTGCCTACGGCGGGCCTGGCCCAAGCACAAGCTGAATCCGACAAGCAACCAACCTGAAAAATGGGACGATTCTATATATAATAATATAATTATATATCCAAAATTCATCTATATTTCTGGACTAGAATTAAAGTCAGTTATCCCCAGAGAAAAATTCACCTCCTTAGACCACTGTTGGCATGTCCACAATGAGAACGAAATGTAGCTAAAAAAATAAAAAGAGCCCCCGAGAGAGGAATCTTCCATTACATGATACTTGAACATTGTAAGCTTCCAAGTCTTAACTGTTATGATAACATGATTAGAACATCAAAGATTGAACAACAGATGACAGACGATGAAACCATTTAAAGCAATCTACCTCAAAGGAGAAAAATAGAGGAAAAAACCAAAAGGAAGACAAAGAGGAAGAGAAATGGAAAGGAGGAGGACTCCCGTAGGTGCACAGAAGTTGTTCTGTGCTTGCAAGTCTCTTTGGCTGAGTACAACCACCCCATCCTATAAATGCTAGAAAGTAAGGACCAATACCCAGCTACATGTTCTATTTGCTTAACATGTCGTCACTTTTTCGTCTATTCACATGCCAATTTGGTGTCAAAGCTGCTCAGGCAGATGGCAAAAGCCTGAAACGCAGAGAGAGGATATCTGTAATCCATGGTAAACATGTCCTTGCCGACTTTACCGAACTGGAGAATAATCTTATCATGATCAGATTGGGCAGGCTGTGATGGTGTTGGAGCACCAGCTGATGGCTGGTTTGCTGCAATCAGCTGAAAATTCTTCACAGACGCAACTGTCACCCGCCCTCGAAAGTTCAGGCACCAACATTGTAACTGCTCATGCCACCGTGGTGGTTTGTTCCGGAGAACCAATGGTCTCTCCTTTCCCTCATCCTCTTCATCGCGGGTTCCAACAATATCCGAGAATCTGGCACTGCTAAACTCAGATGAATTATCAATTGACTTTGAGAAAGAGATGCTTCTAAATGAGTCTTCAAGGGATCGAGGCAGAAGCTCTGGCTGGCCTGGGACAATGCCACCTGGCTCGAGGGCAGATGCAGGAATTGAGTGCATAGTGCAATGCATCCTCCGAGGCCCCCTAGTACCTAGCACATTCAGCTCATATGAGACCTGAGCAATGTTGTAGCTACCAGTGGGAACCTTTGGTGAGACTTTTTTTGAATAGAACCTACGGCTTCGGCCAGGTGGTGAAAGCTGAGCGTTGTTGTATGGAGGTTGTGTGTCATAAATAATGAATTTGGTGCCAAGAAAATTTGACCTGAAGGTAAATATGCACTTTAGGATGTTTCTAACAATATAAATTTACAAGAATTAACATATCAAATAGGGATTGCAAATCAGTTTAGCCATGCATGATGTGCACAAACATGACATGCACAAACATGATGCTTCAAAATACCTGCCGGCATATGTTCATTTACAACCTAGCGAATAATGTCAACAGAATCAAATAAACTAGCAGGACATCTCCAGAAAAATGGTACACTATTTCCTTCCTCAAATAATGTCAACCATAACATGCAATAAAATAATATAATATAAGGGTGGTTCGACAAACTGAGCATTCAAAGCCTAATGAAATAAAAAATAGCAACATTGAGGAAGGAACCAGAAATCCTACCTAAGTTTTCCAATATACGTGCTGCTAGATCTTGATATGTTATCTGCATCCATGGAGATCACATACTCTGTGCATGTAGTTCTACGTGTCCGTTTTGCAGAAAGAAGAAACTTCCCATTTTCAACAAGCAAAGCTGCAAAATATAGCAAAGGTTAAGGTTACATACCCAAATAGAATGGTAAATATGAAACAAGATATTATATCCACACAGACATGAGCGTCAGAATAGTATGTAGGGAACCAACACAACAATAATAATCTGCCATCTATAGCTAGTTAGTGTTAAGGTGACAAAATAAGAGAAAAAATTCACCAACTAACAAGGGAAGTAAAAGAGTTACTACCAATAATTTATGATCTTGGACCATTTATGGAGCAGAGATGACTGACAAGACCTTATTTAAATTGCATGGAGACACAGGTGCTATAGTTCAACATGGTGCAGTGTAAAAGGACATTAGAGCCCAGCCAATGTACAAATGGCTCGTTAAATTGTTAAAGTAAAACCTTCCATTAACTTCAAACTTGATCATGACAACAGACATTTTTATTCATGTAACACAGCCACAGATCATATGGGAGGCCAGTAGAAAATGTACCAAAAAGCCAGATGCCATTTATACTTAGAACCAAATTTGTTAACTTGCAACAACAATTCAGGCATTTTCCAAAGAAGTAACTGGAAGTGTAGCAAACATGTATATTGAGGAAGCCATCACAGTAAAGTTCAACAGATAGAACTCAAATGAGTGAATTAATCAGATTTTCGCACAGGCTCTCAACTTCAGAATCAAAGGACTCCAAATTGGATAAAAATGCATCATGAACCCTTAGAAGAAGTAGCCATTTACTGTCTCAGATTGTCAAAATAATTAAAAAGTAGCTAGACCAGAGGAGTCGATAAGACAATTAAATTGAAGCAGATTTACAAAGCCTGCTAAAACATATATTTTATTGCACATTATATTTATCTCGTTGGAGAGTATTATCAGAGGGAACAAGAGGGAGAATGTTTGCAAGTCAAACAATTACAACTGCACTTGTAGAATGCTTCAACAGCAAATCAGCATCTTCAGAAACAAAAAAATGTTGACTTTAGAAGCAGTCCCATCCATTATAGTAGCATCGACTTCCTAAGACCTTCAGCCTATCAATGAGTCGGTTTTTTATTTTAAAGATAAGGAGCACAGCTCGACATTTCCATAACCAAAAAATATATATTTAACCACATTGAGCTTATACTTGTAACCACAGAAACATTGGTGGTAAAAATTAATTAGTTATATTGCTAAGGCCACCAAGAAAACAGAGAAAAGACCAGAGAACCGAATCAGGCCAACAAATTGTAAAAGATTGAGCCTGACAGAGTAGCTTACCAGGACTAAGGCAAAGGAAAAGGTGATAAGTTAAATTAGATTTGTCTCTCTTAATGAAGCATTGAATGCTCCCATCCCTTGGCCCAGGCTGATGATAAACAAATAAAACTTTGTCAGTCACTACTGTATATAATATAAAATTCCACTTTAGAAGTTAAGACATGTATGCATACACAAATTTATAACAAAATAAAATGGTTATGACCAATCAAGAAGCCTGATAAACACATTATTAATCAGTTCATCTATTAATTATTCCACAAGAATATCTTGTTTGCATGACAGAAAGATCATAAAAATTAGAGATCTAACCTGCTTCAGAGACACTGGAAAGGTGATTTTTCCAGAGAACTCGGGACATTGAACAATTTCTTTGCACATTTCCCTCCATGACCTGCATACTGCAGCACAAGCAACAACATGCTTGCGAGCAGGCCAGGTACTCTCACTCGCTTCCAATCTCTTGATCACATCACGCAACAGCTCAGGCGGGAGGCTTGCCCAGCGGCTATTCTGAATAACCACAGGCTGATCATGCAACTCAAGCACTAATCCATGAGATTTTCCCTTATGGTGGCCAGGCAACCTCACCTCAAAACTACGCCTAGATAAGCTCCCAAAAGCATCCCTGACATCATTTACTATACTTCGAAACGACATTTACTCTCACCACTCCCAAAAACTCCAAAATGGTTGCATAAATTATAAATATGATCCCATAAAATGGCGACTACGAGATCATCCACACGTATGCACCAACTGCAAAAAAATGAAAGCAAACACAGCTTAAATTTTAAAAACTCGAAACTGACAATACTTAATAAGAAAGTAAGAAAAGAGGAAAAGATGAGACGGAGGGAAAAGCACAAAGCAAGAAAAGAAGATTCTCCTAAAAGAAAAGGCTCAATCAAAATGGACCAAAGAAAAGCAACTAAAATACCAGACTTTTATCAGAAACCATCTTTTTGGCGGGGTTTTAAAAACCCTAATCTCAAAAAAAAAAAAAACCTTAAAACCCAAAGTTTCTCTTAATTCAAAATCTTAGCTTCCTCTTCTTCCTGTACGGTCTTTAGTCAAACTAAGAATCGGAGAGCACAAAAGTAAAAGAAATACCAAAATTTACCCATTTTCTTAAATCTCCAAATTAGCACCAAAATTCCAGAAAGCAGTAGAGTAGAGTTATTATTTTTAAAGTATTCAATACCGATTCCTTTTAAAGTAACTTAAACTATGCCCTATTTTAATTATTGGTGCTATTTTAAATGTTTTAGAAACATTTAAAGCTTCATCAAAAAGGGAAATATTTAAAGCTTTAACATTTTAAGGTTAACATCCAACCTTCACCAAAGTAACTGAAGCTGGGAAGAATTTTTAACCTGAGCAATAATCGACTATTCATTTCTATATATCTCAACTTTGCGTACGCAAAGATCAGAGCTTTTCATATAAAATTTTCCCGCAAAAAACATATCAATAAGAAATTATTTATCCTCCACAAACCACCAAAAATATAGAAGGAAAAAGACTCAGAAATGGACAGCGGAATGAATGTACCTCTTTTTAGCACCGATAAGAAAAAGTATAATGGTCAAATCAGCAGAAGCAAAAGAGAACACTTTTACAAAGAAATCAGATTTCGGAGTGAACTTTTCGAAGAAGAATACACTGAACGGACCTCAAAAGCTCAATCGATAGAAGAAGCAGGAAGTTTTTATTTCTCGAGATACAAACAAAGGAACGGAGAAGAATTTAGAGATCTAATTAGGAAAAGAGAATCACAAGCAGCTCACCATCGTTGCTGTTTGTTCCTTCTGTTTTATGTGTCCGATCCTCAAACGCTTTTACTACACGCGCTTTCTCTCTCCAGCGCTCTTGCTTTCTCTCTCTCTATAGAGAACCAAAGCCTCGGACTCCAAATCCTTAGTAAATCTAATTTAATGAAACTCCAAATTTTAGAATAAAAAAATGAAAAAAAAATACTTTCTTTTCTTTTGATATTGCAACCCATCCATGGAGGGTGGGGGTACAGAAAAGCTGGTTCAAATTTTAATAATTCTTCATTTAAATAATATCGTATTTACGTGTATTCATTTCTCTGCCTTCTTTTTTTTTTCATTTTATTTATTAAATTCCCCGAGGATTAAGGTTACTAAAGAACTAACATAGAACTTTCTTGCGAAAGTACCGTTTTGTCCTTGACGGTTGACTTCACCGGTTTTTGTAGCTGCCGTTTACGTGACCAACTGTAAACGGCGCGTTTTTACTACAAATGCCCCCCAGTGCCCAAGCACTTCCGCTGTAGTGAACACGTTTGCACACGTCAGAATTGTGGTCCATGATAATTTGTTCTTCGGTGCTCCTTTCTGGCACATACCTTTTTTTTTTAATTTTAAAACCTAAAAAAAAAGTAAATTATGCTAATATTATGATTAGGTAAAAAAATAAATCGAAATAATTCAAATAAGAGATATTAATTTTTTTTAATTTCAAAATTTACAACATTACAATATACAGTATGATTATTTGTGTGTTAATGCTTTATTAAGTCATCCATTAGGGTTGGGTCATGTGAGGAAAATTATGACATGGGGCACGCTCTCATCATGGATTCATGGATTGGAGACCTGCTCTGCTCAACATTGAATTGCCAATTTTACCCTTGATTAACTTTCTTAAACTAAAACTATGAAGAAATCATTTTTTTTATTTATTAATCAATGATGCAATCTTTAATGGATAATAAATAAGTTCCTTTACTCAGAAAATTGGATTTGGAAATCCTCCCCAAATAATAAAGAAAAATGCTTGTACTAATCAGTTGACATGATCTTCCATTCTTACATGGACATTCGTGCATTAATCCTTTATCCTTTATTATTTCTTTTTCTACGCCGAAATCATGGGGCCAAAAAAAGGGTATGCAGTAGTGAACCGTGATGCTGTGATAATAATATGACAAATGTGGTTAAACCAACGGCGCTCTCGGATGTGACTTGAGAAATGCTTAGAAAATCCATCAACTTTAAGGCCTGTCCAAGTCAAGCAGGCTTTAATTTCTACCTAACCTGTAGTACCACTGGCTTATATAATATATTTCAGTAACAATTCAAACCTAAGAGTGTAGACCTCAACTTCAATTATTAACCCTTATCCCCCTCCTCTCTGCTTTTTCTTTATTTTATTATTATTATTATTATAAATATGAGAAAGATTAAAAAAGAAAATTCTGACCTTAAACTTTAGAACAGATTTCAATGGTTAATAAGTTAAATCCAACTTATTGTCTCACTGTTTTTTCTCTTTAGTTGTTGAACAATGAAAGGAGCCCATATCCTATTAACTAAATTCTATATCTAGTTTTCTATATTTCAGGTTCTAATATTCCAAATATGTCACTTATCCAAATGTAATCATTAATCATTGGGTTTGGTTAGTCTAAATTTCTTTGTAGTTGAGCTAAAGTGTTGGTTTAAATTAGATGTTTCAAAAACTTTTTGAAAGCTAGCCAGCTTTTTTGACTTTTGATTGCTCTTTAAGTTATAAAGCTGATGGATCCAGGGAAACCCCAAGATTTTAATGTGAACAAAGAAACTTGGTTTTGTTGACATGAATTAATGTCTCTATTCTCTTCACACATTCATCATCAACGCATGCCTTTGATTTCTCACTCTCTCTTCTTAAATTCCCTATAATATCAAACTATACATGATTCCTTGATTTGATTAATCTTGATCGATACCGGGAAGCAAAAGATGATATTTTAGGATTGAGAGAGTGGCATGTTTCATCTTGGCTAACCAAGTCGAATCTCGAAACATGATTTGTTTTGATATATTGCTCCAAAATTTGAACTTATCTGGCTCTCTTTTATATATATATATATTGTAAATTCGTGATTCATGAGAGTCAAAATAATCAGAAAATTTCTTGTTTTCAATCATCATAGCTTGTCTCAACTTGTATTTTTCAAGCACCAATCACATGGGAAAAAAAAATTCATCATTTTATGTCGAAAGTAGCACCTCATTATGAACGAAAGAGCACATGTTTTTGCTACTCTGAAACATGCCAAAATGTGTTTATCATTGAGACATGGAGAACGATGTAATATCATTTTCTTTAGGGTTGTAACATAAAGTGTATATCATTAAGGTTTTGGAGATCATATTTGTACATAGAACTTTGATTTAGTTATTTATTTTTAGAGAAAAGGCAAAAGTAAATATAACAAATTAGAGATAGATATTAAAATAACACAAAATCAAAAAATTTATGATAAAAAAATTATAGGAAAAAGGTAATTTCAATTTTGATGAATTTTTTAAATAAAAAATACCATTCTTCAATGTAAATTATTGACTAAATTTACAAAAAGTTTTAATATAAAAAATTATTACTAATAGATTTTTGAGTATCCTTCATAAAATTTTCCTTCTCTTTCATTTTTTACAAAAGACACTACTGATTTAAGAATTTATAACGTTTCATTAGAAAAGTATTCAACAAAATTAAAATTTTTTCAGACAGACAATTTCATTGAAAAGAAGCTTTTTTTTATCTAATGAATTGAATTTAATTGTATTTTCAAGATTTATGGTTTATATCCTTTCTGCACATTGTTAGTGTAAGTGCATAAAATCTTAAAACAATAATTAACATTGATAGATATCTGGAAATTATTTCATGATTTTTTATATATTTCAATTTTATATGCCAACATGGATAAATTTCTCTTCTTTGGTTAGTAACTCAACTCAAATAAAGTTTTACATGTACAAGAAAAGTAGAAGGAGAAGAAGCAACTGTATTTTCTTCGAGTGTTTAATTAAGAAAAAAAGAATGACAAAAAAATTGAGAGATAATGAATCAATATCACACATATTTTAGGTGGCCGGAGTCCAATTATACTCACAAAGTAGTGTAAATTGGGGTGAAACAAGAGCATGTGTCAAGTTGTGGATCAAAGAATTGTTGGATATTTAATGATATCTCATAAAATTTTTATTTCACATTGTCTAAATACAAAAGATGCTAATGCTTTATATAAGTAAATTCATCATAAGCTTATTATAAGTAAAAAAAGGAAGTGCGCTCATGCACACATAAAGTCAGGCTAAGCTTTGAGAGAATAAGAATTTTCTCCTCATGTATGAGTATACACGTGGATTAGGTTTAAGTGATATGCTCTCAGCCAAACTATTTAGGAAAATCTGTTGAATCTTAGGGGTTAACTACTTTAATTCTTTTGCATTGAATCTTATATTTTGAAGGAACGGATGAAAATTATCCTTAAAGACAATGTATTACACCTAAAACTTGTTTTTGTTTCTTATTTCACATTTCGAAAAGACAAAAATTATCTTTAAGGATAATGTATTACGCTTTAGATTTGTTTCAATTCCTTATTTCATATTTTGAAGGGCATAAATTATCTTTAAAAACAGTGTATTACGTCTCAAACTTGTTTTAGTTCCTTATCTACTTCACTTTTCGCTAACAAAAATAATATTTATGAAAATAACCACTTTAATCCCTTTGCATTTTGAAAAGGTGAAAATTATCGTTAAGTACAATGTATTACGTATCAAACTTATTTCAGCTCCTTGTGCTTCACTTTTCGCCAACAAGGATATCATGCAAGTCCGAAAGTGGTGAACCAATTGACTTTAAACCATATTATACAATACATTTAATGTTAGCATTTCATTAAGATTATTATGTCAACCTTTTCAATTTCACGATAACAATGACAAAAATGTGATTGCATATTAATATTATTTTTTTACATAAAATTTACATCACGAAATAAGAGATAATTTGTTTTATGTCATTAATTTTAAAATTTAAATAAAAAATTTTTAATTTTTAACTTTAAATTTCAAATTTCAAATTTTAATTGATAAAGAATTAATAAAATAGGGAAGCAGGAAAATTACGGCCGAAAAATGCTACGTATCGAGGGTACTTTGAAGGGGACAAATTGCCAAAAGAATATGTAAATGGGGCAACTTGCATATGTCATATGGTTGGTATATATTAAGTTATTAAATTAAAAAATGTCAAAATTAATTTATATGGGCAGTAATGAAGATATCTATATGATTAATCTATTTACACGTGTTGTTTCGTAACCATGATTTCACGAAAGGCTTGAAAAAGAAAAAGAAATCTATGAAACCAACCGATTACTAATGACATATATGTTATACCAACTTGATAATATTTAATTATGATTTAATCATGAAACTTGGATTTGCAATAGAATAGTAATTTTATTTTGCCATAATATATACATGTATAAGTAGACATTAGAGACGAAGAAAATCAAATATAAAAAGGTGAAGCAAATTGGCAGAGATTGAAATTGAAATTAATGATTTTAGAGTTTTTATCTTATCACTAAGATAATATCTAAAGTGAAACACATCTCAGTACATATATATATATATATATATATATATATATATATATCTTGCCTTAAAAGCTTGCTAATAAGGACATTTGAATTATGACTCTGGAGATGGTGGTAGATAGGGTGGTTATTCAAATGATTACAAGGATTATAGCTGGTTAGGTATAATTGAAGATGCTTGGATTTGATTTTTCGTCATCAACTGCTTTTGGTATGTAGCACTTATCATATTCGAATTAAACATTATGTATTTATCTCTTATGCTTGTCATCGTTTGTCTATTAAAATAAGGCAATTTTTTGTGGAAGTAAGCTAAGTTTTTAGCTCATTGTATAAAAAATGGAGTCCTCAACCCACCGGCTTTGTCCCAATGGCTGCTTAATTTAGGAAACATCATCCATTGCCCGTTGGAGCTTGAGTTTTAGCTCAACCTCCCGACAAAACATAAAAGTCTTGTGGCCCATTTACCTAGTTAAAAAACAAATAAACAAATAACTTGATATAAATATATACTGTAATTTTATTTATTTATTTATTTATTACTTTTCTGATCAAATGATCTTTTAGAAGCAGTCAGATATACCAATTCCCATGCAGCCTATTTTGTTTAAAAAACACCAT